TCTGCTCCTATGATGCTGCTTGGCCTGCTGTGTTCATCCAGCCCTGCACCTTGTTGCTTAGTTCTCACCTCATTTCTCACCTTAAACCTTCAACAATGAAGTGGCAGCTGTGTATATCAAATTGTGTATGAGATCAAGAAAGGTGAGGAATGCTCTTTTTCAGACCTTTCCTTCATCAATCCACAGATCCCCTGCAATTCATTCCTTATCCACCTAATTGCATAAATTTAGAAACTTTTTGTTTTAATTGACCCATTTGCTGACACCACTGCACCAATGACTGCTGAAAGCGCGTGTGCTAATTTTTCAAAATGAAAGATTCTACTTTGTTTAATATTTCTATGACCCCATTTACTTTCTCATTAAAATTGTATTGGTATTTGTAACTTTTTTTACTGTTTAATAAAAAATATCACTGCACTGCAAATGCATATGCTTATTGATGTCAGCAAGCATAGCTTTTTTTAATTTGTCTATAGAATTCAGGCTCAAACATTTATTACCCAACCATAAATATCCTAGAAGCATTGGAGAGCTGCTTTTTTGAACTGCTGCAATCCATGTGGTGCAAGAACACCCAGGGTGCTGTCTTGAAAGGAATTTCAGGGTGTGACCCAGAAACTGTGAAAGAACAGCAGTATACTTCTAAGTTAGGATATTGTAAGGCTTGGAGGGGAAATTGCAGGTAGTGATGTTCCCATACATCTGCTGCCCCTATTCTTTGAGGTGGTAAAAGTTGTGGGTCCTCTGAGAAAAGGTCACCAGACCCAAAACATTAAATCTGATTTTTCTTCACAGATGCTGCCAGAGCTTTTCCAGCAACTTCTGTTTTTGTTCATAACCTTTTTGCTTTGTACCATATCGGACTACAAGTTATCAGCTCCAGTCGTTCTCGGCCTCCTTGACACTATCATGGATTTTTCTCAGTTCTCACCTCAATATTTTTTTTTCCTTAGAAGATAGAGCATAATCCCTTGCTGTGGAAGCAGGTCGTTCAGTCCATCAAATCCACACCGACCCTCTGAAGAAGGATCCCAACCAGACCCACCCCCTACCCAAATCTTGTAACCCTGGACAACTTAGGCAGTTTAGCATGGTCCATCCACCTAAACTGCACATCTTCGGACTGTGGGAGGAAACCAAAGCACCTAAAGGAAAGCTAAGCAGACACGGCGAGAATGTGCAAACTCCACGCAGATAGTCGCCAGGTCCCTGGCGCTGTGAGGCAGCAGTGGTAAGCACTGAGCCACCGACCCACCCACACAGTGTTACCATTCCCTGTTAGACTTGTTTTGCACCTTCTCCTATGCCTCAGTAACCTTCCCATGACAGAGAACTGCACAATGTTCAATGTCGTCTAACGAAGGCTCTGTACAAGAACAGAAAATAACGAAGTCCAGCAAGTTGGGCAGTAGCTGTGGAAAAACAGAAATACAATCGAGAGGTTCCGCCATTGTTCTCCTGTTATATTTTATTCCGGTAGGACTAAAACCCAAAGATTTATTTGTACCTTTGTGCAGATCCGAGAACTCGGTGCGCGCACACAAGCTCAAGGTGAGCGTGTAACCAGGGCAACCACGTGGCGTCTCTACGTGCAGCCATGGAAACAGGCCGCGCGTGTACGCCGGAGTATCGCGGACGGCAGCGAATTTTCATGGAGACAATAACATGCGACAGCCGTCACTAGGCAACGCTGCCTGTCATCATAGCAACTGCTCTAGCCAACAACCGGAAACTCGATGGCCATTTGTGGAAGGCAAACCTGAACGAATCCTTGTCCAGAATGCGTACATGGACCGTACTCTTAGCAACGGCAGCGTCCCAGCTCCGAAACAATGCGAACCGAGCCCGAGTGTCCCCATACAGAAAGAGCCTGCAACATCCCTTCCTGAACAAAATAATTCGCTGCCAATGATAAATCTGAATTAAACACGTAATCATGGAAACATGCATGTCCGATGACAATCGTCCTAGATTTTAAAAAGACAAAGGTCTCCTGGAAAACTAAACAACGTTCCTTTAATTGCTGGCACCCGGGTGACAAAAATTTGTCTTTCTTTTCGACAGATGGGGACAAGAGTAGGCCATTCAGCCCGTCGAGCCTGCCTCATCACTCAAAACCATCATGGCTGATTTATCTTCTCGCTGCCTTTTACTGACCCCCCTAACTCTACTTCATTGATGATAAAAAAAATATAATGGGCTTCTACCTTACATATTCTCAAAGACTAAGCTTGTTCTATAGTTGTACAGCACAGAAAGATGCTGCGGTCTAACTCGTCCATGCCAACCGGATATCCTAGCAATCTAGTCCCTATGGTAGGGAATTCTAAAGGTTCACAAGAGCGAGTAAAATAAATATCTCATTTCAGATCTTACTAACAGTGGCATTCCCTTTATTTTTAAATTGTACCCCCAGGTTGTAGACTCTCCACCCAGGGAAAACATCTTACCTACACCTATAACATCGTGTGGAGCTGGAGGAACGCAGCAGGCCAGGCAGCATCAGAGGAGCAGGAAAACTGACGTTTCCAGTCGGGACCCTTCTTCAGAAATAGATTTCTGAAGGAGGGTCCCTACTCAAACGTCAGCTTTCCTGCTGCTCTGACGCTGCCTGGCCTGCAGTGGTCCTCCAGCTCCACACTTATCTCTGACTCCAGCATCAGCAGTTCCTACTATCTCTTACCTACACCTATCCTGTCTAAAGAATTTTGTAGGTTTTAATGACATCAACTCTCATTCTTCTAAACTCTACAGACAAACCGACCAATTTCTCTCAAGACAATAGTCCCATCATCCCAGAAGCAAGTCTGTTGAACCTTCACTGTACTCCCTTCTATGGCACAAATATCTTTCCTGAGATAGAGATCAAAATTGCACAATGTATAGTCTGATCAAGCTCCTACACAACTGAAGCAAAACTTCATTACTTCTGTACTCAAATTCCTCTTATCATAAAAGGCTAATAATCCATTAACAGCTTGCTGCATCTGCATGTTAGCCAGTGAGTTATGACAAGGACACCAAAAGCCCTTGGAACATCTACACTTTCCACCTTCTTACTAAAGAAATATTGTGCACATCTATTCCTCCAATACGAAGGGGATAACTTCATTTTTCCACATGACCTTCTTTCTGCCATGTTCTTATCCATTCACCAAGTTTGTCTAAATACTCCTGAAGACATTTTACATACAAACCGAAAAAACCAAAGGAATTATGGACGTTGGAAGTCAGAAACAAAAACAGAATATGCTAGAAAAACTCAGCAGGTTTGGCAGCATGTGGCGATAAAGCAGAGTTAAATGTTTCCTCCCCAATCACTATCCCTTTTTTAACATCCCAAAAAGGTATCTTTTCTTTCTGACTCCAGTTTGAGCCTAACCTTTTCCCTATTCCCAAGCATCACTTCGTGGCTGATTTCACTTTCTCATTTTGCTTTTGCCTAATTTAATATCATTCGTCTCCTGTGCACTGCCATCTCCACTCTATTCTTCACGGTCACATTTAAAGTGACTAACTTTTCCAGACCAGAGATTCATGGCATCACAAACTCACCTAAAGGTAGTGAGTTACTTCCTTTAACAGTAGCTCTCGTATGCAAGTGTTGAGAGAACACAGACTCTTACTGCACTGAGCTTTATTATGCCGACATAGAATGTAGTCCTGAAACTTTTGTCATGTAAGTAAGTTTCTTTCAAAACAGTCATAATTTGAATATTTGTAAAAATTACTCATCTTACATAGATGAAATTACATTGTGCATTTCAGCACATACATGTTGATTATCTATTGGGGACAGATGGACTTTTATCAAAAGTAAAACTCATAACGGTTGCGAAATCTACCAGTAAAATGCTTCCTTAAACAGTTATCCTAATGTTAATGTTGTTTCATAGTTAACAACCCTCACATTGTCTAACTTTTAAAATCTTATTTTGGAATGGATTTTAGATCAGGTCTTCTTACCAGATGATTGTAGCAAATCCAAAAAGTTTACCTTCAATTTGGTGTTACTATGCTAAAGGAGAGTCAAGAACTAGCAATAGCAGAGCAATCACCCATAAAAGATTAATCCATCAGATCAAAATCACGACAAGGTGCTTGAAAGATTATGCAGCAGGAATTTGTGGGGCCAGTTAAAAAGCAATAATTATTCTATCAACAAGATTCTTAAAGCAAGGAAGATTCTACAGCTCATAGCCAGATCTTAAAGGAAGATGGGAGATAAACATATCTGTTATGGAGACATAGGTCTTTACCTAGCCTTAGAGATGCTGAGAAAAGGATACAGGTTGGATCATCTACTTTGTAATGTCATTTTTAAAAAAAGTTACTTACATGCTTTATGCAATATTATAAAGCAGTCTTTAAAGGGCTTTCTTTCTATAGAGTTACTCTTGCTCTCTTATTCAATTACATTGCAAGGGATTCACGGAGCACAAAAATAAAGCTGGTTTTTAAAAAAAAAAACACAGTATTTACTCTGTATGTAACCCTACCAAGATGTCCAAAATGGTCAAACTCAGGATGTTTCAGTTCAGTTCAAATCATGAACATTTTAAAACCATACCAAACTTGGGTAAACAGAAAACACAAATTATGGAGATAGTTTTCTTTGACAAAAGGAACCACAGAATACTTACATTTGCTCAATATTTTTATTCTGAATTAACAAAAATTACAGTACTCGTTATAATCCAGACACACTTGCATACAATGCCAATAACTCCATGTTTTACTTGTTTTGTTAACTTGGGTCTTAGAATGGCAGCTGTCATCAATTGGGTACATCACATCATCGCACCAACCCCACACAAACAACTCAACTGACTGATACACTGTTAAAATGAATCACAGTTTTGCACTACACCATGCACTAGATCATAGCAAATGGATTCAGAAAATATAATTTCATTTGCTAGGCCAATTTGGATAAACAAACCTTAAATGAAGTGGGCCACTTACAGTGATTGCATGGGATCTGCAAAGGATAAAGTTCCATTACTTGCAAGTGCTTTAACACAGCCTGTTAACTAAAGCAGCAAATTTGTTTCAATTGAGATTGTAACTAATTTGTCAGGTGCAAAATTTGAAAAAAGTCATATCCCACGCAGATTTAAAAAATTAAAATCAACATGCAAGGCTTTTCTTTTAAATATTAGCCAACAGAAACCTTCCCTTAACCCTTTGAAAAGAGTTGAATTTTGTCTGGATCAGGATGTCTCAATCTGTACACTGCAGTACTTAATTGATTGGACTGAGCATCAGGTACACAACGGTTTGCCATAGGTGAAAGTTGTAATGGAACAATTTACCATGCCACTGCAATTAACGACCGTACATTTTGCAAACATTCTCATGCTGTTTCTTTTGGCAAGCGCTCCAGCCATTTGTACTTCACGTACTTTTCCCTGCACACTGTCAAGCATATTTTCTAGCACCCGTAGTTTTTTTTTTAAAAACAAAGTCGTAATATTTCCATCCCCAGGCCATAGCCCATATCATATATACAAAGTGTAATTTTTTGTGGCTACCCCTTGTCTTCCTTCTACTCATTGGTATGTCTTCAGCTCCTTTGCTACACTGTGATTGTGTCATCTGCTATAGCCCAGGCCCACTGTGTACAGTCTTTTTTAATGGCATTTAATAGATTGTCTCAACAAAACTGTTTGGAACAAAGAAATCTAAACTATTCAGTTTTTGTTTTGTGAATGATGTGCCTGCACAGCTCTCTGTATTCTCTTGGATCCCAAACATTTCCAGCAATTGGTTGTAAAAACGTGCACTTTGGTGAGTGTGGCATTTTTGAAGCCTCCAGGGAAACACCGTCTGCGAATAAAAACACTGGTCAGCATCAGCCCAGGACATGGAACTGTAGCAGAAACATCAAATGATATCTTCTGTGCTCAACTTAATAGTTCCATTCCAATCAAGTTACTTAAATTTTTTTAGAACATTGTACTGCTGCTTTACTGTTACAACCTGTAATAGATTATAATGGCACTCAGCATCACTTTGAATAGAGTTCTCCTTTCCACCAAGTCTGCCCTGCTCATCTGCAGATCGTTGTAATGTATGGAACACAGCACGGCCCAGACCGATGGTGTGAACAAGAGGGCGACTCAAGGCTTCAAATAATAGCTGGATAATTCATCTGAGTCATTACCAGAGAATGAGGGCACATCTGCCCAATAAAGTTTGAATTTTACAAAAGAGATCTGGAATTGGTTAGAACCACCTGGAAATAAGACAGTGTGACTTTAAATAGAGGTTGGATTAAATAAAAAAAAGCACGTACCCAACGATGGACTTTCATGAGCAGCTCAAAATCTTGAGCTCATAGCTTTTCTTTTAAAGATATTAACTGCATTTGGATAAATATTTACAGAAACAAGATGGGGGAGAAAGGACAACACGAGGAAATCTGGTAATTGAACACATTCTAGGTATTTTATTACAATACAAAAAAAATATAAATATACAAAAACATTTAATTTCAGAACCAAAAAATCTAGCAAGTTGTAATTCTCTCTGAAACATAAATGGAAATCTAAAATAAATGGATGTAGAAGAGTGTTGTCACTGGATTTAGGGTAAGCCATGGTCACCTGTGTAGCTGCAGTCACAAGTTCACATTCGCAGACTGTGATAGCTCTTTTTTTGCCCAATGTCTCCCCTGTAAAACCTGTAACTCATCGTCTTGCAGTATGAACTGTGCTGACAGCAGCAGGATTCACCGCACAGCTGCAGAAACACCGGGCACATGTGAGCTGTTACTCCGAGCACCATCCGAATGCTCCTTGATTATTGGATCTGAGGGGGGGGCAAGGAATGAGAGGAATAAACAAATCAGTTGAAGTAACTGCTGGCTGTCAACGGTGAAGTTCCAAACCAACTACTGCAACCCACCAGTCAGCAGATTCAAGGATCCTTGTTAACAAAACCGCAGTGGGGGATAAAATGGCATACAGAATCTTCATACTACTTAATTGCAGTTAGAAAAATATTATTTGTCAATGTAAAGGGAGGATCATCAGTAACATTCACAATGAATAGGGAAGCAGTGACTAAAAATATTCAGAGCTACTTTTTAAGTTCTATTCAGATACCAACAAGGCTTTTGACAAATCAGGCATTCTTTAACATGGATTAATATTCATGGACTCCCAAGAAAATGATATATTCCTAATAATATGAAAGTGTAACAAGTAAAGAGCATTAGGATACTTTTCAGAAAACGGGTATTTGTTTTGTGTTACTCTGAGCATTCTTCCATACGCACTCCATTCCTAAGCAAAACAGTCAATAAATTCAGTCTCATGACAGGCATAATCCACACCTGCCTCATATTTCATACTATTTTGTGGCACACAATTTCTACAGTTATCTGAAAAACACAATGACAGGTCACTGACCTGTCAAATAACTGACCACCAATTTAAGTCATTCCATCTCGGATGCACAAAGAAAAACTATTTACTGCATTCTCCAAGGTGGGGGCACTGGGGTAAAGTTATAAATAAGTCGGTCACTGGGATAGCTGGAAAGTGAGGTAGAGTCGCACTCTTTCAGTGCGTGCCACCACTCAATGGGAAGCAGACACACCCAAGTCAGAAACTATAGATTCCAATCCAACACCAGGACTTAAGCAAGTAAAATGCTGACACTTCAGTGCTATTTTGAAGTACTCCTGCACAATTGGAGGTGCTGTTTTATAGTCAAGATTTTAAATCAAGGACACCTCTGTGCTGTCAGGTGGACGTAAAAGAAATCTGGCACTATTGTGAAGAAAAGTTAGGGATTATGGAAGTCCAATATTTATCCCTCAATTAATATCATAAGAACACATCACCTCCGCTTTACCACATTGTTGTTCTTGGGCGTTTGCTACGTGCTAGTTGGCTGTCGTGTTTCCTACGTTAAAGCCATGACTACAGTTCAAAAATATTAGAACTCTAAAGAGCTTGGAGATGTCTGGTGCTTGTCTTTCTTCCTTCCGATTATACTCTCTTACTATGCCAACACTGACAACTGGATTTGAGATCGGAGTAAAGGGATGAGGCAAAATCTATTTTGCCAAATTTGCCAATACCTATGAGAAACAGTACTACAACCAAAGAAAACAGATGACTTGCATCTGTAGTTCTATCAGATAAGCAGTGGTTAAGGCAAGAATATTTCTAAGCATAGAGAGAACCCTGTAAAGCTGCGGAAAATCAACCATTTCATCATACTTACAGAAGTATGGATGTTCCATTGCTTCCTTAGCTGTAAGCCTCTGCTGATGATCATAGCGAAGAAGTTTGTCCAACAAATCTAAGGCCTCTGGGCTGACCAGGTGCCGATTCTCACTATGAATGAACTGCTCCCAGCGCTTTCGAGAATGTCTGAAAAATAGTAAAAGATTCATTAAAAATGTAAAGTTCTAGCTGAAATTAGTGATAACACTAACAGTGAACAGTGGATAATTAAGACTTAATTTAGTGAAAAAAAGACTGCATACGAAGCTTTGTAACTTGCAGTCAAAGAACAAAGTACAGCACAAGAACAGGCCTTTGACCCATCAAGACTGCACTTACACATGGTTTTCTAAACTAAAAACTTTTTGCCTTGACATAGTCTGTATCCCTCTATTCGCTGCCTATTCATATATCTGTCAAAATGACTTAAAATATTGCTATTATATCTTCTTTTTCACCTCCTCTGGCAGACATTTACCACTGGCTGTTAAAAAAACTTGCCTCTCAAATCTCCTTTAAAATTCCCCCCTTCTAATTTAAAACCATTCCCCCTAACAATTGGCATTTCTATCCTGGGGAAAAGACTCCAGCTATCTCTGCCTCTCAACTCTAACCTTCTATCAGGTTGTCCTTCAGCCTCTGACATTCAAGTGAAAACAAACTAAGTTTGTCCAATATCTTCTCATAGCTAATACCCTCCAAACCAGGTAACATCCTGGTAGACTGTTTCTGAACCCTTGCCAAAGCCACCACATCCTTCTCAGTGTGGCCACCAGAACTGTATGCAATATTCCAAACGTGACCACAGCTGCAACATGACTTGCTAATTTTTATAGGCTACGCCCCAACCCATGATGGCAAACATGCTATATGCCTTTCTTGACCAACTTATCCACTTGTATTGCCACTTTCAGGGGAACTACAGACCCAAATGCCCTGTACCCTCCGTATCAGTATGCTATCAATGATGCTAAGGGTTCTGCCATTTACTGTACATTTCCCTCCTGCATTTGATCTTCCAAAATAGATCACCTCAAATTTGTCCAGTTTAAACTCCATCTGCCATTTTTCTACCCAATTCTCCAGCTTAGATATATACATCTCTATCCTCTTGCAATCCTCAATATCCGCAGTTCCCCCAATGTTCATGTCATCCACAAACCTACTAATCAGACCACCTGCATTCTCTATATATTAGAAACAACAGGGGTCCTAGCACTTATCCCTGTGAAAGACCAGTGGTCACAGATTTCCAGTCAGAAAAAACACCTTTTCACCACTACTGTCTATAACCAAGCCAGTCCAGTATCCATCTCACCAGCTCATCCCCAGATCCCATGCGACATCACCTTTTCTATCAGCCTGCCATGAAGGACCTTGTTGGATGCCTTGCTAAAGTCCATGCAGACAACATCTACCAGCCTGCCCTCAATCACTTTCGTCACTTCCTCAAGAAATACAATCCCGTTTATATTGACATGCCCCAGGATATCAACGTACTGTTTCTGATATGCACCATCCATCATGTCCTTCTCCTTTGTGAACACTGATGAAAAGTATTCATTAAAGACCTCACCCACTTCCTTTGGCTCCACGCATAAATTCCCTCCTTTGTCCTGGAGTGCACCTACCCCTTCGCTAGCTACTCTCTTGCTCATAAGTATAAAATACCTTGGGATTTTCCTGAATCCTGTTTGCCAAAGATATTTCACGGCCCCTTTCAGCCCTCTTAATTCATTGAGCTTTTTCCGGTTACCAGAGTTATAAAGATGTACAACACAGAAACAGATCCTTCGGTCCAACTTGTCCATGCCAACCAGATATCCTAAATTAATCTAGTCCCAACTGCCAGCATTTGGCCCATATCCCTTCAAACCATTTCTATTCACATACCCATTCAGATACCTTTTTAATGTTGTAATTATACCAGCCTCCATCACTTCCTCTGGCAACTCGCTCCCCACACGCACCACCCTCTGCATGAAAACGTTGCCCTTTATGTCCCTTTTATGTATTTCTCCACTCACCTTAAATCTATGCCGTCTCATTTTGGAGTCCCCTATCCTGGGGAAAAGAACTTGACTATAAACCCTATCTGTGCTCATGATTTTGTAAACTTCTGTAAAAGTTAACTCCTCAGCCTCCTACGCTCTAGGAAAAATAGCTCCAGCCTATTCAGCATCTCCCTATAGCTTAAACCCTCCAACGTTGACAACATCCTTGTAAATCTTTTCTGAACCCTTTCAAGTTTTACAACATCTTTCCTATCTGGGTATTCTTTGAAAGCTGTCTTCAGTTTCCTAAACCTTTCATATGGCTCCTTCTTCTTTTTGACGAAACTCTCAATTTCTCGTCATCCAAGGTTCCGGAATCCTGCTATCTTTATCCTTCATTTTCACAGGCTGCTGGCCCTGAACTCTAATCAACTGGCCTTCAAAAGATTCTCACATGCCAGATGTGGATTTACCCTCAAACAGCTGCCCCCAGTCCACATTCCACAGTTCCTAATATTGTGATAGTTAGCCTTCCTTCAATTTAATACTCACTTGAGGGCTACTCTTATCCTTGTCCATAAGTAACTTAAACTTCACAGAATTATGGTCACTGCTCTCCCACAAACTTCAATCACCTGGCTAGGCTCATTCCCCAGTACCAGGTCTAGTGTGGCCCCTTCCCTAATTGGATTATTTACAGATTGTTTCGGAAAAGAAAAAATAAATAAATCCTGGGCACATCTAACAAATTCTCCCCCATCCAAGCCCCAAAAGGTTGTGGAATGAAAACAATGACAGCTCTGCCCTGGGTGATCTTGAAAAACCAACCTTTTATTGAACAGCTAAACACGCTAACCAACTGAACAACAGACAGTAGCAGTCATGAAGAATTATACAAGAGTGTATCAAATTTCTTGTATTTGTTCTGGTGAACCCAAGACAAAGCTTCAACAGCATCTCTTTCTACAGCAGTATTCAAAGTTTTGCATTCCTACATGACGTGTCATGTTTTGTCCACAATTTATAAGATGCACTTCTGATTAAACGAGAATATAAAACGTTGACTTAAATTAATGTTTATACCACACCCTTACCAGATTGGAACAGTAATTTATTGAGAAGGAATTGCTTTAGGTGGACAAAAAGTGCGTCACCTTGAGAATCATCTTTTTCCTTAACTCAACCTCCACTCCATACCAGTTTGCAGAACCCAGACTGGTGGCTCCCGATTGCTCTAAATCACCATTTGCCCAATATCTCATTCAAATTCAAAACATTCAAAGCTCTATGCTCTTGACAATACAGATTTTTCTGAAATGGACTTTTGTCTTATGCCCTCCCCTTGTAGAAGATGTGCACTTAAATATGAGGTCACAGGGAACAAGTGACTCAGGTTAGCATAAATATTTTTTATTATTAATTTCAATTCTTCTACTCACTGGCCCAAAGTATCATTAAATCGAGGATCCAGTTCAATGTGATATTTCTTGAGGTAGTCAAACAGTTCATCAGTTCCTAAAACCTTGGCAATACGAACAAGCTGGAAGATAACATAGAATTGCTTTAATATGCCTATATATACTGCCATGATGATAGGACCAGTGTGATCCATAATTTACTCAGCTTTCAATAGGGTCACTTGAAACCATGTGGCACAGCTGACAATTTTTATTTCAATGGCAAGGTAATTGTAAACTTCTCCTCAGTATCTCTAAGCAGTCAGTGAAAATAACTAGAACCAATACATTTTCTTTTAAAAAAAACTTCATTACCGCGAGTTGGTTTCCTTAATACAGAAATCGGAGGATCAGGTTAGTCAGTAATCCATCTTGAGAACCACACATTAAACTATTAACTTTACCTAGACCATACAACACCTTCAAAGCCATGAACTGCCTGGCAAGACAAACTTTGATCGAAAAATGTTCCTTTGAGCTACAGAAGTGAAGACAGTAGCTTTAATAATGAAATCCTAAAGTTAGCTGTTAGTAACTAGGTCAATGTGGAGGAAGCCACCAAAGATTGCTACTGTTGAGCCTAAACATTGACAACAAGGCTTCCAGGTTTCTCCCTCCTATTCTTGTTATCTTTTTGATCTGGCACATTTGAGCACAGTGTCGTCTCCTGAACCAAAGAAACCTTCTTTGTCTGCAACACCTTAACCCTCCGAATGCTTCAATATTTTTAAACTGCGATTGTCAGAATTTGACAGGCAGCATGGTGGCTCAGCAGTTAGCACTGCTGCCTCACAGCACCAGGGGCGAGGGTTCGATTCCAGCCTCGGCCAACTGTCGGTGTTGAGTGTGCACTTCTCCCCGTGTCTGCGTGGGTTTCCGCCAGGTACTCCAGTTTCCTCCCACAGTCCAAAGATGTGCAAGTTAGGTTGATTGGCTATATTAAATTACCCATAGTGTTCAGGGATGTGTAGGTTAGATGCATTAGCTATGGGAAATGCAGGTTTAGGTACATGGGTCTGGGTAGCATGCTCTTTGGAGGGTCGGTGAGGGCTTGTTGGGCCAAATGGCCTGTTTCCAGATCGTGGGGTTCTTTGATGATTTGCAAGTATTTAAAATGGAAGATCATCAGTTGCACATGAACTGCATCACAAATTAGTCAACCTGGAACTAATAAACTCATCTTAAATTTCTTAGTTTGTGCGAACCAAGAACTTGGCACTTTCAAAGACCACAGGTTGCCCCTTTGACCATCAGGCCACTGACCAATTACTGAACTCAGTAATGCTCAGAGAATCTGCAAACACACCAGATGAAGAGGTCTGAACAACAATGTGCCAATGAATGGGAGTCGGCTTGTTTGTTTCTGAGGAATTACGTCTGCTTGGAACAGATGATTTTTTGCCATTGTCTGTCCCAACGTTGCTTCCAAATTGTAGGGGCCCATTTTCAACTCAAGAACTGCACTGGAACTGGAGGATTGCTTTAAAAAAATCTTTGAAGATGAGGGTATCACTGGCATCTATTGCCCATCCCTAAATGCCTCTGAACTGAGTGATTTGCTAGGGCCATTCCAAAAGGCTGTTGAGAATCAACCACATTGCTGTGGATCTGGGTTTACATGCATATATTAGTGATCCAGATGGGTTTCTAGTGATCACGGTCACTATTACGGAGTCTGGCATTAAATTTCAGATTTTATCAATTGAACTTTAAATTGAGTCCAGAGCATTAGCCTGGGACTCTTGATTATAGTCCAGTGACATGACCACTACACCATCATCTGCCCCATGTTTCAAGCACTCACCGCATAATCAAATATTCCACAATCGGCAGAAAATCTTTGGGGTTGGGATGAAATTCAAAACAGCCTTGGAACATCTTTATGAGGGGCATTCACCCCTCCCTTCATTATAAATGGGAAGGATTGGAAAGAGTGATGAAAAAATTGGGTGTCTTGTGATTTTAACAAATTAGGTCATTAATGCTCAAAAGTGCCTTGACAGCCAGAAAACATAACACTTCTCCACAGCAAAATTGTTTTGTTGGAATTTAGGTTGTACTCAGCTGCACCTGAACTAAAATCTATGACAATGACCAAATGGGTACTTTTATTTAAAATGCAGAAGAGCGAAGAGAAAGTTATGTAATCATTGATAAAATTGAGTGTAAATATTGAATTAGTCTTAGTACCGACATGGTGTTGGTGAAATTGATGGGATTAAAAGGCCTTTAAAATCCCTAGGGGTCCAATAATCTACACCCCAGAGTATCTAAGGAAGCAGTCCAAAAAATATAGTGGATGCTTCGGTGATCATTTTTCAAGGTTCTATAAACTCTGGAACAGTTCCTATGGATTGGATGGCTGCTAATGAAATCCCACAAATTAAGAAAGAAAACAGGAAATTATACATCAGTTAGCCTGACATCAGTAACGGAAAAACACTAGTGTCCAATATAAAAAATCTAATAATATAGAACTTGGAAATCAGATCGGATAGCCAGCATGGATTTACAAAAGGGAAATCACACTTGACAAGTGTATTGGAATTTTTAAAAGATGTAACTAATAAAGTCGGTAAGGCAGTGCCAGTGGATGTAGTTTACTTGGACTTTTAGATAAGGGAACTAAAGATAATATCTCAAATTTGCAGATGACACAAAACTGGGTGGAAGGGTGAGCTGTGAGGACGACAACAGGTTGATTTGGACAAGTTGAGTTAGGGGACAAATGCACGGCAAATGAAGAATAAATACAGATAAATGAGATTATCCACTTTGGTAGCAAAAACAGGAAGGCAGATTATTACCTGAAATGGCAATGGACAGGGAAAGGGGGAGGTGTAACGAGACTTGGGTATCCTTGTACAACAGTTGCTGAATGCAAGCATACAGGTGCAGTAGGCGGTAAATGGTCCATTTGCCCTTTATAGCCTCAGTCATGCATGGCAGGTGTGCAAGTTCGGCACTCAGCCCCAAGCTTGCAACAGCTTCCATATTCTTCTTGAAAAACAAACTTTGCCAAGTCCAGAAATAAAATGCTTTCATCACATTTAATCCATCCAGATTATGTTCAGGTGCAAAAAAGCATTGCTAAAAAGGGAAATCAAAAAGTCGTGTAGTTTTCCCTCACCATGAATTCACAGAAGACTAAGCAACTAGCAGTACAACAAGCAATTACTTTTCTTCAGAAGTCAGTGAAGGAACAGGTCTGAAGGAAGGTTTATAAAACCAGTCTTCAACTTTTGAATTGCCTGCGATAGGATGCATGGATTGTCAGTTTCCAAAACAATAGACTTTAAATTGAAATAAAACAAAGAACTGTGGATGCTGGAGAGCTGAAACAAAAGCAGAAATTGAAGATACTCAGCAGGTCTGGCAGCATCTGTGGAGAGAAAGCAGAGTTAATGTTACAAGTCTAGTGACCCTCCTCCTGAACTGACAGTAGTTAGGAAATGTGGTATTTATGCTGAAGCCAGGTGGTGGGGTGAGAAAAGGAGCAAGGAGATAAGGAAGATGGAGCCTAGAGAGCAAGCAAGAGACAGTCAGCAAGGCAAAGGAATGACCGTATGCTCAGGTCAAAGAAAAAAAACTCATAACAGGGACCATAAGGAAGTGAAAACAGGTTGACTGTGCTAAAAGCAGCCCATGTCATGACAGAGCCTGTCGGTGCGCAGTTGGGTGAAAGACATGGAAAGTGGTGTTCAGGTTATAAAATTGTGACTTTTGTGCGAAAGATAATTAATACTTACACAAAGGAAGAGTTTTCAACCCTTTATTAGAGATTTTTAGATGATAATCGAACAAAATTATTATAACTGTTGATTAAATAACTTCAAAACAACTAATAGGCCCTTCAGCCTGATCCTTTACCCGACTTCTGAAGAAGAAAGTCTTGTTGCAAATGTATTGTCTTTGTGCAACTAGATGCTTGTTCTACTAAGATATTCACTGATGACAACTCTAATTTTTAAGTGTCAGCTGAGTTTCAGCCTTCATCTTCTTTTAGCAATTACTGTTAGATGATCAAAACTTTACCTGATCATAATTATCATGTCCATGGAAGAAAGGCTCCTTACGGAATATCATGCTGGCCAACATACAGCCCAAACTCCACATGTCCAAGCTATAATCATACATCTGGAAAAGGAAAGGGTGCAAAGGGACTAGTGAGTCGCACACTTAGATATCATTCAAAAGATCGGCATCTGAACAGTTAGATATATGCCCTGGGATTTAATATATGTTCCAATTTTAAAGCACAGTATTATATCTGCCCTATTTATAAAATATATATGCCCCATATATAGATGTCCTGTTCTATTTCCTGTATTTGAGATGGGAAGTACCAAAATGGGAAGATTTTATCCAAAAGAAGTACATGATTATACCTCAGGAGAGTTAAGGGACAATGTTGGAATCTAGTCTTAAGGAAGTCCAAACAACATTTAGAAAATCAGTGTAACCAGACAAAGTCAACATAGCGTTTAACAATATATTAGGATGTTTTGAACATGTAACAAATACATTAGAAGACATAATATAATTGAATTTCCAATAGGTATTCAATAAAGGTGCCACACAAAGATTAATATGAAATTTAAGAGCTTACAGAGGTGGGGGCAATATATTACTATGGATGGAGAATCAGTTAACAGACAGGAAGCAGTGAGTAACGTTAAGCAGGACACTTACAAGTTGGCAGGTTGTAGCTAGTGGAGTGCTTCAAGAATCGGTGCTGCTATCTCAGCATTTATAATTAATATTCAGTGATTTGGATGAAACAACCAGGAGAAATCTATTCAAGTTTGCTGACAACAAAATTGGATGTGAATGTAAATGGTAAGGCGGCTAGAAATAGGTTCTAAAGAAATATAAACAGGTTCAGTGGACAGGGCAGAAGGAATGGCACAGAGGTAATGTTACTGAACATATAATCCAGAGCCCCAGGTTAATGGCTTTGGGAACATGGGCTTGAATCACATCATGGCAGCAGAGGGCATTTGAATTCAGTTTAAAAAAAACCTGGAATTAAGAAAATGTAACCATCGATGATTTACATCTGATTCACTAATGTCCTTCCTGCCATCTTTACCTGATCTCACAAACAGATTCTGGATAGATCCAACTCTAGACCCACAGCAATATGGTTAACAATTAATTGCTGTCTGGGCTATGTACGGGTAGGCAATAAATGCTCAGGGGTCTTGCCAGAAAAGGGCATATCCCATGAATGAATAATTCTTTAAGAATGGAGTATAATACGGGAAGAAAGAGTTTAATCACTTTGCTGATAAAATTAGAACAGCAATTTTTTTTAAAAAAGCCTTGAAACTTTTAAAAGTTAGTGTTCAGAAACTTCGGTGCAGTGATTCAAGGAACATAATTTCACCCTCAAGTACTGCAAGCAATCAAGGAGGTCAATAGCATATAGGTATTTATTGTCACTGAACTGGAGTAAAAGATTTAAAAAAGCTACAGAATTAGGGAATACTTATTTAAGACAGATGTGAAAGAATTTCTCTCAGTAGAGAATATCTGGAATTCTTTAACCCAGATTATGGAGGCTATATGACTGGAAGTACTTAAAGAGGAGATACAGGTAGATAAATATTTGATATACAGGAACTAAGGGCTACGAGCAGCCAATAAGAGAGAGAGGTTGAGGTCTGGGGCAAAACAGCTATGATCTTATAGAATGCTGGGGCAGACTCAAGGGGCTGAATGGCCTACTTCTGCTCCTATTTCTAATATGTACTACTGCACTGGGCATTTAGGAGACCACAACTGCACTACTTTCAGCAGTTTAAGTCAGCATATTTTAAGCGTAGGTGTAATTGTTTTGGAGGTATTACAGCCTAGATTCACTAGAATAGCCCCTGTGGTGAGTGTGTTGTTCTAGAATGACAGGTAGAGTAAATGGGGTGCATATCTGGGGTTTCGAAGAATCAAAGTTGATCTCATTGAAACATACAAGATTCTGGAGGAGTGGTTGAAGAATCTAGAATACAGGGCCAGACCCATGATAAGGAATTAATGATTCAGGACTGAAATGAGAAGTCTCTTTCAGTTAGAAGTTAGGGTCTTTCGAGTTCTCTCCTGAGGGTTGTAAACGTGACGCGGCTGACCAAAGCCGAGAAAGATATTTTTAATCACTTAATCAAGGTATATGGGGTGCATGCCAGAAAGTGAGGCAGAAAATCAGCATGCATTGAATAGTGGAGCACCCTTGAAGTGCTCCTATTTCATGTTCTGTTGTCACTGCGAGCAAGGATGATACTGAGAAAAATAGGGGCAAATACAGAGAACGTCAGTACAGGAATTGTACACTGCTTGTGCATACTTCTCCCCTCGATAAGATATTCTAATCTCCAGCGTGTAAAACAGTATAAATCCCGTGACTTGATTGTACCTGGTAGTCAACTAGCAGCTCAGGACCTTTGAAGTACCTGGAGGCCACTCTAACATTGTACTCCTGTTCAGGATGGTAAAACTCAGCCAGTCCCCAGTCAATCAACCGAAGCTGTAGAGCAAATTGGTAGTCAGATGTTAGCTGGTATATTGGTACTACATGCAATTTTATTGCTCAAATTTTAAGGCAGTGCGTTTTTCTTCACAAGAAAAGTTCATCAATCTGATGGAACTGTGTGTTTTAGAGCAATATTAATACACAACGGACACAGTGGAACTCTGAATCAAAGAGAAAGCAAAACAAAATGAAAGCCAAGAAGAAAAAGCCAATTGATCTCTTGCTTCAGTTTCCAAAAAAAAAAAAAGGGTTTATAAGGTGGAGGTCACAATGAACAGATCTACCAATTCACTTGTGTATCTCTTCATGGACATTGAACAGGTTCAGCAACAAGTTCCAAAGAGAAAACACTTAATCTCTCTTCTTAGTGTTTGATTAAGCATGTCCTTCGGTAGAAAGCAAATAATCTAAACAGGAGTACCTAAGTGGGGAGCTGGGAAACTGATCTGAAATGACCTGTGGTAGGTGGGTTACATAACTTGCCACATACACTCCATTTGTCGGCTTTTTCTGATCAGCTCCCCACTGCAGCAGTCCCCCTCTTTGTTTACCACCGCAGAACTGGAAACAGCAGATTCCTGTAAGCTCAGTTAAATTTCAATTTAATTGACAACATCTCATCAGAAGCTCAATGCAACCTTCAATTTGCAGTTTGATGCTGCAACACTCTGGAGAAAGTGAGTCATAGAACAACTTCAGCTAACACCAAATGTTCACACATATTTTGCTGCTCACTATGACACACCCCCTCCATAAAACAGACAAACCTGCAATCAGCCCATACCTTCCTCTGAGCATGGTCGATCATCACATTATGTGGTTTCACGTCCCTATGCATGATGCCCATACTGTGGCAGTAATCCAAGGCCTGTGGGAAGACGAGTTTTAAACTTTTTATTTGCTTGATTTCCTCATTTCATTCCACAATTTTTCTCCTGCTTACTCTGATACCACTAGTCAAAGTGAGAAACATCCTGCATTCTTTAAGATAATCTCCAATACTTCTAAACACAGCAACCTGGAATGATTATTATCAGAAAATCCTCCTTCCCACTGGAGAAACTAGCTTCCAAATTATCATTGCAACTTAGATGAGAAAGTTCTGCATGGAAGTCTTGTTCCAGAGAGTCCAACAACCCATCGTTGTGCCTCTCTTTAAATATATATTCATATTTCCTTGATGTCAAAAAAAAAAATTGACCTTCCAGCTTTTCCTTGCTTTTCTGTCAGCATTGCTTATGTGAATAAAAAGATTGCTTCCTTTAACATTCGTTGAGCAACAGTTTAGTTTCTAAACATTCTGTCCAGCATGGAGACCAGCATACTGGTTTTCAATAGTGAGAGAATAATCACTAAAGTACCAGCATGCGATGACAGCAGGAGGCAGTGAAGAGTCATTAGATGTCACTTGATGGATTGTAATAGTCATTACAGCACAGAAAGCAGCAATAAAGCCTATAGAGTCCATGCTAGCTCTCTGTACAGCAATCCCATCAGACCCATTCATCCAGGCCACCAGAAGCAGCACAAATTGCTTTATCCTGAAGGGACGCGCCTCCCGTCAACTTAATGTCAATCACTCATTGGATACCAAGTGAAGTAAACATCGACGCTCGGAGAAGCTTGGGACCCACACCAATTTGTGGTGGTGGTGGACGAGGCACTGACAGTGGAGATAACCTAAAAGGTTACCTGAACACACAGAAATTAACGCTATTACTACTTAGTTCAAATGATTGGTTTGTTTTCAACTCACCTTTAATATTTCATACATGTAGAACCGTATGTCATAATCCGTCAAAATCTGATACAGTTGCTAGACAAAGAGAGAAGATAGGGGATGTGATGTTGGGTAGGGAGGGAGAGGGAAGGAAATGTAGCATAAGTGAGTAAAAACATTGTAAGTTCATTACTGGACTAAACAGTAATATTAGTGAAATACAACAATAGTGCCGATAAGATGCAAGTACACCTGCAAAGCTCACCTTGAAATCAGTATTATCAATGTGCTCGAAAACAAGAGCTGGAGTCCTTGACTGTGGAAAAAACAGGATCATTATGTGAGGTACAGCACAAAGGAAACATGTTAGAAACTCCCTAGGAAACTCAAATGCAAATGATCAATGAGAAATGTTTCAGCCAACAATACAGACTGTATCTGTGGCCAAGACTAACTGTTGCAAGACAGTAATTAAAAATGCATTTTTACAGGAGGCATGTTAATTTTTGATTGCACAAGGTTGTATCCTTGATAAGGCACGGCCCTGCAAGTTTTTTTTTGCTGGATTACATAATTACCATCTCAGTCAAGAGGTGGTGCAGCAATACGACTCCTAAGCTCCTGAGACTACTGTTCTCAAATTTACAGCCAGATGACAACAGTACCTGCCCAAGATTAATAAAATGTGCTGGAGAAACTCAAAGTTGGCAATATCCAGAAAGATAGAAACAGAGTTAACATTTCAAGCCCAATGGGATTCTTGCTTCCTCGAAGAGGAGTCACGTTGGATTCAAAACGTTAAATCTATTTCTCTCTCTCCACAGATGCTGCCAGAACAGCTCAGCTTCTCCAGTATTCTCAGTTTTAGTTCGGATCTCCAACATTTGCAGTACAGTACTTTGCTTTTACTTGTGCAGCTCAAGTTAATGCTTCCCTTCTCCTGTATTGAAGCACTGACTTCTACATAACATAGTAATTCCTCAGATGCCCAACTCAACCTGGAATAATTATGGATACTCTGGAATAGAATGAAGAGTTTAGAAGACAGAAATCTTAGATTATGTAAGTATACTTAGATTATGTAAGTAAGCTGAGAGGTTGCTCTGTTGTCAACGAAACAAATGATCAAACCCCACTGCAATGGTTCACCTAAGTGAGCTATGTGATTGCCAAGATGTAGTCATTTGATTTGGATCACAGAAGCTTAGCCATTCATTGTGGTTTTTCTAAAGGATGAAATGATAGTACGGATGAAGACAAAGAATTGGGCAGGAGAGAAAGAAACAAATGTTGCCTGTACATAGGGTGCCTAGTTGATTGCATAAATGCAAATTGTATTTTTGCAGCCCAACTTCTTTAAGGAGTTCAGCTTCAAAAAAAATCATATCCCATTCCTGTATTCCTCCAATCAAATACTGCTTGTCAGCCACTGGAGCAGACTAGTTTTGCAATTACTGCAAATGTCTTACAACGCCAGGTAAGAATTGCATCAAAACTGCACAGGGAGGAATGCATCATGAGCAATGTGCATTCTCACTCCACATCGAGCCAGCTGTCCTCTGTTCAACACTTACCAAAAATTTGAAAAGACCATGAACAATATGTAGTGAAATCCTTATTCCCAAAACACAAATTAGAAAAGAAGTGGTTGAGAGATGGGTCCCAGAATCAGTTAGTAATGGGTGCATGGCTGGGTCAGTGAGATATGGGTATAGGTAGGGTTGGGTCTATGGAGTTTTCAAATAAAAGGCATTAAGTTATGGTGCCTTGTCCTGTGAAAGTGAATGGCTTTTCCAAGTATTTTTATGTGAGCCTGCACTTTACACATAGTAAGATTCCACAAATAGCAATTAAGTGATTAGACAATCTGCTTTTGTATAAGAGTATGAGAACAAAGCTACTCTTCGCTTTAATTATTGTCACAAGATCTTTCATGTTAATTTGAACTAAAACAGGGCCCTCAATATTGCATTTCTCAAAAGGACAACACAACATTCTCTCTGTACGGCATTGCGAGGTAGCCTTGAATATGTGCTCATGGATTGACATGGAGCTTAAACTTATCATTCCCTAACTCACGGCAAGTTGCACCAACTGAGCCAAGCTGACCAAACTAAGCATGCAACCTTTCAGTTACGTTTCAATCTGAAATCAAGATCCGGATCAAGTCACAGCGGTTACTCACCACAGGGTCCTTTACCACATCTAGCAGCTTGATGATGTTTGGGCCTCCACGGAGGTTCTCTAATATTTTGATTTCCCGCTTTATTTTCTTCTTTTTAACAGGCTGCAAAATTAACAGTTTTAAAAATAATTTTAACAAAAGTAATGGATGAATTGAAGCAAGGTAGGATGCTGAGAGGGATTTGCTGACATTTTAGCACAAAGAAAAATTGATACAATAGTTTTAGTTCTAAAGCTTGTTTAGACATTAAATGAGCGATGTTGTCACATTCCCCAAATCTGCTTCTCTAGCTCTGCTGCACACATCATTGGATAAGCCTATGGAGAAAGATGCCAGTGTGTTGTTAACAAGCTGTCATGTGGTACAACAGAATGCCCTGGCCCAGCCAAGTTACAAGTCTAACAAGCTTCCCTGCTCAAAGAGGGCTTCATATATTAAAAACAGACTGAAAAAGCTGCAGAGCACACAATACAACATTAACACAATTAACACACTATTGCTATTCTAAACTAAAAACATGACTGTCACTTTTAATTGACTTGTTTAATAGCTTAGTGATCATTAAACTTAAAATTTGTCCAAAGCAACCACTATCAGTGGCAATAAAGTAGCAAGAAGTATACAGAATTTAAAACTCTTAATTTAATCTGTAAAGTAGCAAAACAGTCATGTTACAGTTTATCTCAGTGAAAAATATGTATCACAATCCTTATAAGTAACATAGTCGGCTATCCAACCCTTGGAGCGTGTTGTATCATTCAGTGAGATTATGAATGATCAGTCACCTGCCTAAATTAATTATAAAATCTTTTCAAAATCCTAGAAAAGCTCAGTCAAAACATTCTAAACTATGCTTGTTTCTGGGAATGTTAACCTGGTTAATGTAATAATCCTTGGATCCCTGGTTACATTCTGGTGAATCTGTGTCAAACTCTCCAAGATGGATTTACCCATCCTAAAACACAGCGCTTGGTACTAATACTCCAGTTGTGGTTTAAGCTAGAAACTTTGATCAGCTGCAGCAAATTTACAGCCTCCTTAGTTAAAAACTAATTCTATTAGCCTTTTTCATTTTGTTTTGCACCCAAGAATCTGATCCTGTTAAAATTAACATTTGAATCAAACTATTATTTAAGATTGATACACAGTCCAACACAGCTCTGTTGTGACTAAGTCAGATTAGCAGCATTTCTAACATTGCACAGATTAACCAAGCTAACAGCTGGTGTGGATCATTAACTTAGTAGTGAGCCAAAATTTGGCTCAGTTATTTGGTTTGGTTGCAGTGCCAATATTTGGTGAATTTATGCAAACAGAAATATTACAATGCTTAATGCCTGAACAAAAGACTTAGTTTATAGAATAACAAGGTGTAGAGCTGGATGAACACAGCAGGCCAAGCAGCATCAGAGGAGCAGGAAGGCTGACGTTTCGGGCCTAGACCCTTCTTCAGAAATGGGGGAGGGGAAGGGGGTTCTGAAATAAATAGGGAGAAAGGGGGAGGCGGATAGAAGATGGATAGGGGAGAAGATAGGTGGAGAGGAGACAGACAGGTCAAAGAGGCAGGGATGGAGCCAGGAAAGGTGAGTGTAGGTGGGGAGGCAGGGAGGAGATAGGTCAGTCCAGGGAGGATGGACAGGTCAAGGGGGTGGGATGAGGTTAGTAGGTAGGAGATTGGAGTGGGGCTTGAGGTGGGAGGAGGGGATAGGTGGGAGGAAGGACATGTTAGGGAGGCGGGAACGAGCTGGGCTGGTTTTGGGATGCGGTAGGGGGAGGGGAGATTTTGAAGCTTGTGAAATCTGACTGACAAACTGAAGCTTGACAAACCTGACTACCTGACTGCCCTGGTCGACCCATTGATTCCGCCTGCTCCTGCCCCACCGAACTTATCTCCACCTATCTCGACTCCATTTTCTCCCTCTTGGTCCAGGAGCTCCCTACCTACGTCCGTGACACCACCCACGCCCTCCACCTCCTCCAGAAATTCCAATTCCCCAGTCCCCAACACCTCATCTTTACCATGGACGTCCAGTCCCTATGCACCTGCGTTCCCCATACAGATGGCCTAAAGGCCCTCCGCTTCTTCCTGTCCCGCAGGCCCGACCATAAGTTCAAGGAAATCAGACAGAACCGACATGGTTTTGTCAAAGGAAATCATGCTTAACCAATTTATTGGAGTTCTTTGAAGTAGTAACTTGTGCTGTGGACAAAGGAGTAGCAGTAGATATATTGTACTTAGATTTCCAGAAGGTGCTGCATCCAAGGTAATTGCAGAAAATAAAATCTCATGGTATTGGATGTAACACTGCAGAGAGGGGACTGGTTGCTTAACAGGAAGCAGAGAGTAGGAATAAATAGATCAATTTCAGTCTGGCAGGATGTCATGAATGGCACATTACAAATGTCAGTGCTGGGATCTCAATTCTTTACAGTTTATATCAATGATTTGGTCAAAGGTACTAAAGAAATAGCAGCTAAATTTGATGTCACAAAGAAGATAGGAAAGTAAGTTGTGAAGAGGATATAACAAGCCTACAAAAGGATATAGACATGTTAAGTGAGTGAGCAAATAGAATAAAATGTCAGAAAGCGTGAAATTGTCCATTTTGGTAGAAAGGATGAAAAAAGCGCATTATCTAAATGGAGAGAGTCTGCAGAGACATCTGTGCGCTCTAGTGCATGAATTACAGAAGATTAGCATGGTGGTACAGCCAGTAATCAGGGAAGCTTGGCAGGCTGGGCCTGTATCTGCTGCCGTTTATAACAGTCAGAGGCAGTTTAATTGAAATATACAAGATCTTGAGGGGACTTGACAGGATGGATGACGCAAGGAATGGGAGAGTCTAGAACTAGGGGGATATAGTTTTAAACTAAGGGATTGTTCATTTAAAACAGATGAGGATTTTTTCTTTCAGACGGCTCAATTTTTAAGATTTCCCATTCTCAAAAGGCAGGGGATGCAAAGACTTTTTAAGGCAGAGATAGCTAGTTTATTACAATGTAACAATAGAAACTTCGTTTTGTCCACTTCATGCAAAAGGTAGGCAACAGAAAAGGGTTAAAGGACAATAAAATTGGTAGCTCTTTTAAGTGAGGAGAGGCGGAGGAAGAGAAAGAGTGTGGCATCACAAAAGATAAGGAAAAAGTGAACATACTTATGAGGTTACTTGCCAATATGACAACTCAAGGCATCCTTCAGCTAAACATGATTTAGTGAGATAGCCTTTATGCCAAAATGGCTTTACTAAGCATTTTGCATGTTTGTTGGGAAACAGCCAGCAAGATAAAAGTCATCCTAACAAACCAATCTCACTTCCAAATGATGTAACACGCTTGCTGAGAGTTACCTAAAAAAGGTAACTATTGAGAGTGGATGAGAAATAATCAAATCAAAATTGCAGATTTCAAAATGAACCAGAAACAAATGAAATAGCAATAGGTTATACAGCCCTTTACACCCTATCCACTATTCTGTAAGATAATGGCTGACCTACTCAACACCACTTTTCTGCAAAATTGCCATACCCCTTAATGCTTTCAATTACATAGAAATATTTCAATTTTCATCTTGAACATACTCAATGACTGAGTTTCCACAGCAGTGGGGGAGAAGGAATTCACTAATGAAGAAATTTGTCATTGCAGTCATGAATGGTCTGTCCCTGATTCTGAGACCGTGATCCCTGGTTCATGATCCCAGCCAGGGGAAATAACCTTCCTGCATCTACTCTGTCAAGCCTGTAAGAATTGTGTGTATTTGAATAGATTGGCTTTATATCAAGAGAAGTGAGGATCAAAATGGTTAGAATGGGTGCTACGCATAGAACTAAACAACAGCATAAGCTAAATAGGCTAAGTTATTATTAGCTTAAAAGAGGCCTTTTGACACTCATCAAGTTGGGCCTTTTCACTCCATTTTATTGCAAACATAGATTCACGTGAAACAATGTTCCCAGAGAAGTTAGTTATATTCTTGCTATTGAGGAAGCCCAGCAAAGGTTCACCAGACTGATTCCCAGGATGGCAGGACTGACATATGAGGAAAGACCGGCTTGACTGGGCTTGTGTTGAATGGTGGTGCAGGCTCGAAGGGCCAAATGGCCTACTCTTGAGCCTATTTTCTATGTTTCTACATGGAAATGCATACGGTACTAAAATTGCAAATTTAGTATCTTGCTAGCATCTCTCCTGTTATTGCGCATCAGTAATCTGGAGTCAGTGTGTTGTGACATTTAGCTATTATACTGGCCAGTCTGTTTAAGATCTTGGCTCAAGTATTGACTATGGGAGCCTAGTAATTGTAGCTGTATGCACAGAGCGAGATCAATTAGAGACCAAATATTTCTGTCTCTGTAGCACCGTCCATCTCCAGTCCTTCATCAGCATGTCTGCTGCAAAAACCTTCACCCAACCTTTTACTGCCTTTACACTCGACTACTCCAAAGTCTGACACACTACCTCATATAGACATGAGGTCATCCAAAACTCTGCTGGAGGAGTCCTAATTTGCAACAAGTCCAAAACACTCGTTAGCTTTCATGCCTAAACTGGCTCCCAGTTCAGCACAGCCTCAGGTTTTAAAATTCTCATCTTCTTAACCCCCAAATCCTTCTACTACTTTGGTCCTTATCTGTGCAATTTCTTCTCACCCCATAATCAAAGACACCTGTTCACCTACAATTTTGGACCCTTGAGCACCTCTGGTTTAACTGCTACCAAGATCTAGCTTTGTAATTTCCATCCTAAACTTCTCTACCTCCTCGCTTTCTCCAAGATACTCCCCAAAATAACTTCCCTGATCAGGTTTTGGTCATATGCCCCAATATCTTGTGGCAGTGTGTCAGAAATTGTTTTATAATGTCCATAACTTTTATAAAGCACAATCAAACACAAAATAAACTGCCTGGCTTTCTCTTTTCATAAATTTAGCATCAGTAGAAGCAAAATATCTGAATGCTACAAATGCATTGCTAGATGGCCAGATGCAAGACATCAATATATCCGGAAGTTGACAGAGTTTAAAACATAAAATCGAAACTTGAGTCATTAACATTGTTCATGAGCATCATCAGGTAGTTTCCAGAATGACAGAGGCAGATTGCGATTTCATCAACTGCATTTCAAAAACATTATACTAGAAATGAGACAAAACAAAAGCTGTTAATTCTAAATGTATAAATTTGACTTAAAATTCCTGATATTAAAGAAACATCAGAATGGATTATCTTTGAAAGAAAAGTGTGAAGATTTGCTGAGGTGTACTGAAAATCTAGCCCATATTACATCATTTATTTTTCCTAATTCTGGGGAGAATGTGATGACTAAAAGTAAAACTTAAAACAACAGTCTGGATTTTTGCTAGTCTCCCTGTTATTTATATCAATGTTCAGTTATTAAAATTCACAGCATACAAACTTAAGTGATGCTGCATATACAATTAAATGTGGAAATCAGGACATGGCTATCAGAAACAAAAACAGAAATTGCTGACGAAACTCAGGTCTGGTAACATCTGTGGAGAGAAAGCAGAATTAACGTTTTAAGCCTGGTGACTCTTCATCAGAACTATGTGGCTATCCGAGTTTCCTTAGAATGCTGCAGACAAAAAGACATGCCTTACTTAAGTGACAGACACATAACAATCTGGCCTAAGTCAGGGCTGATCAATTCCAGTTTATCAACATAAATATCATAGAATCCCTATGTGTGGAAACAGGCCCTTCGGCCCAACAAGTCCACACCGACCCTAGGAGCATCCCATCCTGGCCCATCCCCCTACAACCCACCTAAGCTACACATCCCTGAATACTATGGTCTATTTAGCATGGCCAATCCACCCAACCAGCACATCTTTGGACTTTGGGAGGAAACCGGAGCACCTGGAGGAAACCCATGCAGACACGGGGAGATGTGCAAACTCCACACAGACAGTCGCCCGAGGCTGGAATCGAACCCGGGTCCCTGGCGCTGTGAGGCAGCAGTGCTAACCACTGAGCCGTGCTGCCCAAACACTTTGACTCTGAAATTAACAGCCAGTATGCTGCTAGGCATGGGTGGGGATGTAACTTTATAAATGGCATGATAACAGGTTCACCATCTTGGACCAGGAAACAAGTTTATACACTCTGTTTAGTCTTTGGAGTTATCTACATTTATTTTTAATTTGTGTATGAATTTGAAATCAAATTAAATATTCTATTTCACATTTCCTGGTTCAGTTCACTGCTCAGTAAAAATTCTTTAACTGGATTGGTAAAGAAAATAGGCAATTTCCTATCCAGGCAGATTCCCAATCTCCTGTGAAAGGTGCTGCTCTAAAAAGACATCCTCATCACAGTAGGTTCCAGTGTAAAACCCCAAAGAAAGTCAAAGTTGGAAAGGTGAAGTGTGAATGGCAAATGCAGTTAATTTAACAATCACAAAATATATACCAACATAAGAAACAGGGAAAGTAGGTTGTTTTGCCTCTCAAGTTTGCTGCGCCGACCAATTAGGTCGAAACTGATCTAATTGTGGTTTGAATTCTACTGCCTGCCTCTATTAGGCTGGGTTTCTTTGTGGATCAAATATTTATCTAATCTAGCATTCGCAAATTCATTGACCCTGCCTCCATTCCTCTGGACAGAATTCCAAAGATTAACAATGCACAACAAAGCTGATCCTCTCATCTAAGGAAAGTTATAGGGACACTGGGGGCAGTCCAGAGAAAGTTTAAGGTTGATCCCAGGTACAGAAAAGATTTTCTGATGAGGAGAGGTCGAATAGAATAGGCCTGCGCATATTGGAGTTTGGAAGAGTGAGGGGCAACCTTATAGAGACATAACATTCTTTTGGGGGTTTGCTGAAAGGTTGTTTCCTATTCCAGAAGGGTTATCCCATTTAAAAGACAGAGGAAGTTTCTTTTTTCCTCTTAAAAAGCAGTGAGTCTGTGACATTATTTATCACAGAGAGTTGCAGAGGCTGCTAAGTATAGTCAAGGCTGAGGCAGATAGATTTTTAATTAGTAAGGGAATCCAGGATTATGGGGAAAAAGCAAGGTTGAGTTGAGGGCGGCATGGTGGCTCAGTGGTTAGCACTGCAGCCTCACAGTGCCAGGCACCTGGGTTCGATTCCAGCCTCGGGCGACTGTCTGTGCAGAGTTTGCACATTCTCCCCGTGTCTGCGTGGGTTTCCTCCGGGTGCTCCGGTTTCCTCCCACAGTCCAAAGATGTGCAGGCTGGGTGGATTGGCCATAGTGTTCAGGGGCGTGTGGGTTTTAGGGGGATGGGTCTGGGTGGGATGCTCCAAGGGTCAGTGTGGACTTGTTGGGCCGAAGGGCCTGTTTCCACACTGTAGGGATTTTATGATTATTAGATCAACCACTATCTCACCGAGTAGCAAAAAGACCTGATGGACTGAATGGTCTGTTACTTGTATGCCTTATAGTCTAGGCACTACCTCATTTTCGTTAAACAGAAGATCCCTTACTTTGGAACTGAACTCTCCAGTTCAAGATTCCACCACAAGAGAAACATTCAATATTTATCCTGTCAAGCCCTCTTCATAGGTTCAACAAGATGATCACTCCTCATCCTTCTAAATCTAAGTATAGGGCCAACCTGCCCACCTTTCCTTACAAGACAACTCCTTTGGTCCAGGTATCAACCTCTTCAACTTTCAGTGCACTGCCTCCAATACATGCACAAAATTCCCAACGGAAGCCAAAGTTGTACATAGTCTGGGTGCGGTCTCACCATCACCATGTGCAGATGTAGCAAGAATTCTCTATTTTTAAATTCTATCCCCATTACTTTAAGCAATAAAATTCCATTTGTTTTCCTGATTACTTGCTGTACTTGTATGTTAACTTTGAGATTCAACCAGACTCCTTGGTACTGCAGACAACAACGTGCAGAGCTGGATGAACACAGCAGGCCAAGCAGCATCATAGGAGCAGAAA